CCTCCCCCCCCACAACCCCCAAGCAGAACAAGCAAACCGTAAACGCTGCTGCACGTCCTGCCCCGGGCGAGGACCGCCGAGCCAAGCCTACTCGCCGCCCTCCAGGACGGGGGTCACAGCGAAGGCGCCGGGCTCCGGGGGGGGCTCGCACTCTAGGTCTCCCTTGGTGCTCTCGCTGCTGGACAGGCACCCCAGGCTGGAGTCCTGGCTGCTGGGTGGCGAAAACACTGCGAGTAGGGGAAGAGAGAGAAAAAAAAAACAGCATCTGAGACACCCCCACCCCCGACCAGAGGAGCCCCAAGTGCTTCACCCGTCCCCCGGGTAAGGGGTGAGAGGGTGTGCTCGCTGGCCTCCTTCCTCCGGCCAAGATAAACGCAGAGGGAGTTACACTGAGGGGAAACAACCTCAGGTCTGGGTGCTGCAACGCCTCCACACCCCAAAAATTAACCAAACAGGCTGCATACAGACCTAAGGCTCTGGCTTCGGCAGCCCGAGGTTAAGGACAAATATTAAAGAATTTAAAACTAATACAGTGCTAGGAACAGTTGCAACATTGCAACTTGTAGTAGATACAAAAACCAAGCAAAAGGGTCTCTGACCTTCCTAACCTTAGATGAGTTGAGATCCACCCTGAACACTCCCTTCCTGCCTACCGTGAATATAATTAAGGGGAAGCTGCGGTGGTAATTTCTCTCCTCATTAACTTCCTGATTGGTTTCAGGCTCACGATTCCGGCGGGCGGCAGTTTGTCACCACGTCCAAATGGCCAATCGTTAATACTAATGTTTGTGTAACTAACTGCCAGCATCTGCCACGGCTTCTTGTACAACAATAATAGTGAAAGGGTAACATTAGTGCTTCCCCTGTTAATTCAGATTCTGTTCATCAATAGGAAAATCTATGATGTAATTAGCAAAATGCATCAGTAGTTGAGGCAGTTGGAGGGAACTAAATCACAGCAAGAGCTCCATGGGCCCCTGACACTTTAATCATTAATACTTATTATGTTCCGGATTTTACTGTTTAGTGGAGAGTATTACCAGGCTGTGCTGTTTTGAAAAATAATATTGTTTACAACCAGTGCTTGTTTTTCAGAAGCCATGATAAACCGAGTACTACTGTGCCAGAACAAGGAATACAGGAGCTGGGGCTTAAACTCCATCCCCAAGCCGCACCACTGTGCCGAAGACAGGAGCTGCTCTATGCCTGGGCTCATGGTGCTTGCAGACTCCAGGGACTTCTAGCACATCTTAAGTTCAACAAAACAGAAAAGGTCAGGTCTGACTTCCACAGCCAGGCAAATCCAACCAATCCTTTACCAAGGAAGGTAAACAGCATCCATCTGGGTTTATCCCATGAGTGGAAAAAATTATAAACACCCTCTTAAAAAAACACCGACATCCTATTACTATAGTAATGTATGTTTTCGCAGTGACTTCCACTTGCAGCTCAGCTTCCTGATTTGTCCTTATTTTAAACACGACACTGGTTACCAACAGACAGAAAAGACATTATGGAGTTGAGGTCTCACATATAATTTGTGTCCCATCACTAGATAAAATGGTGATTTTTGTTACTTTCAGTGAGTTTTGCCCATTTTTTAACATTGCAGAATTGGGCTCCTTCATTTCATGCAAATTTTAACGCTTGTAAGGGACAAGCAAGGCTCTCTAACACTACCCTGCCAAAGCAGGTTCTACTACTGTCTTTTAGACCTGGCATGGGACCATGTAATCACAGAATTTTCAGAGCTGGTAGGGACCTCCAGAGATTATCTAGTCCAATTCCCTGGCTAAAGCAGGGCTGGCTTCAGCACATTACTCCAGACTGCATCCGGGCAGGTCTTGAGTATCTCCAGAGAAGGGGATGCCACAACTTCCCTGGGCAGCCTGTTTCAGTGCTCAAAAGGTGGTTGTTTTTTGTTTTTTTTTTTAACTTGATGAATGGGAGATTAACCCCATAGTAGATTTTTTCCTAGCTAGAAGAGAAAGAGAATAATGCAGTTCTCAGATATGAGGGAGTGACAAAGCAGTCAAGGCAATCTGCAACAGTATTTAGGCGTCTGCAAATGCTGCTAATGTTTAAGGACACAGAAAGAGGAATTTGGGTCTAGAGAATCATGTATTTCTCTGCTATATGGTCAAACACACAAAGCAGCCAAACAGGTCTTGAACATCTCTGGGCCTCAATAACAATTGGCCTGCTGGAGGAGGGCACTGATTTACACCTACAGCAAATTAGAACAGCACTGGGGTAACCTGCAGTTTGGAACAACTTTGAAGATTGTAACTTTTTCTACCCCATCAATCCTGAAACACTTCAGATCAGAAACACTTCTTGTGGGCTGCAACAGTCAGGCTCTCTCTCTTCTCCAAGGAGAATGTACTAGGCAATTCCTGATGCTGCTGTTTCCTATCTCCCCTTTTCAGTGTGTAAGTGGGATTGATGATGGAGTTCCAAGGAGTAGTCGCATTTTGGTGCCCAGATGAAGACACAGCTTGTCTTTCCACTTCACTTCCTCTGCTAAGTCTGTGCTTAAGATTCTATCACTGCCCAAGAGGTCCTACGGCTTGAACTGGATGCAAACATACAGCTCAGGGAAAGTAAGTGAAGGAATAGAGGAACCATCCTCGTTAAATCACCATCCCTGGAGATGTTTGAAAGACAAGCAGATGTGGTGCTTAGAAATAGTGTTTAGCAATGAACTTGGCAGAGTTAGGTTACTGGTTGGACTTGATTACTTTAAAGGTCTTTTTCAACCTGAATGATTCTGTGATTCTGTATGCATTTCTCCTCTGGAAGGAAAACTGGTTCACCCTGTGAGATGGGTTCACAGCACAAACACATTCATTGGGTGGCCTACTCTGCACCACACTCCGATGATCTGAAGCACAAACCACGCATTACTTCAGATGAGTGTTGGAGTGGTCTGTGCTTTGACTACTAGAAAATGACAGAATAGAAAGGCTCTGTAGGCCCACACTCCAATGTCAAAGGGGAAATCACCTACAGCAAATGCAGCAATTGGCAGCTTTCCTGACATGTGCTAGAGACTAGCTCCTCAATGGTCATTCAGTGCCTCAGCTTTTGCCTGCAAACAACACAAGCTTTGGTTGGGTCTGGTCACATCTACAATCAGGAATAATCTCTTTCTCCATGAAATTACCTCTCACTACATGGTAAACAAACAGTAGTGTGGCTTCAACAGGGCTGGCTGGCTCAAACACTCAGCTCTCTGACTCTGAAATCTCATTCTTCTCTAATTTAGCAAAGCCCCAGTGTGTTAAGATTTAGGACATACTGTAAGGAATGTCTGTGTTCTCAGGCTCCAGAAGTATGAAGGAAGCGACTGAGGTTGAAATGGGATGATTTTTTGTTTACTCCTGAGTAGCCAAATGAAGAAAAGGTTTATTTATTTTAAAGGATTTATTAGGTTTTTTTTTACTGTGCATGTGCCTGGAGTAAGGGAAAGGCACATTTTTACATACTGAGATCCATAAACCTCTGTGACAAACTTACGGGAAGTTTTTTCCTTAACAGAAGGAATCCAACAGAAAACCCACCCAACAAGCTACAGTATGGATGTTAAAACCCTACCATAGCAAAACTGCCACATCATTTTTATGATCTGTTTTTTCCAGCAATTCTATATGAATTTAGTATAAACCCAGGGAATGACAGAGGGCAACTTTTTCAGTAGACAGACACCTGTATCTGTTTCTTAGCACCTCAAGGAGTTTCTCCTACATCTTCTGGACCAGCAGAGATCCACCAGTCTGTCAGCATTTCTCAGGGACCATGAGACATCCCAATCAGACTTCAAATGGAAAGTGTCACTACCTGGGAAAAAGTCCAGTCACCAACGGGTTGGTCTCACAAACTGCTTCAGGGTCTGAAGCACTGATCTAATAACAGGGGTTGCTTTTCCACTGACTTCCAGAGTGATCACAGTTTTGACAGACAATCTGGGCTACATACAGTGGCCTCTGAATGTGCATAGAGGTATGTAACAACAACCACACAGACATTAAAAACAACCTGGCACTACCAAGATACTCTCCCTAGCAGATTAGAGTACTACTGCATCCAAACCTGCCCTGCTTACTCAGAGAGACTGCCACTTCAAGCAAGGATAGATGCAACACTGACTATAAGAGCAAGATCCTTGGACTGGGACTTGTAGCTGTAAAAAGGCAGCAAAAAGGAAAAAAAAAAGCAATTCTGTTCCAGTGTTTTAATCACACAGCAATAAAATGTAGAAGTTCCAAGTTCATGGAAACAAAATTCATGTTCTTTCTGATTTAAGTGTATGAGTTTAATCTGTTAGAGGCTTGTGGCTGATCCTCCCACTGTTGTTACACAGCCCTTATCTGTGTAAATAACGGTACCAGAATCGGGTCTGTGACAGTTTTTAAAGACCATTCCTTGATCTAATTACATTTTACCCTTGGGAAAGCACCTGAATATTTCTGAACCATATGAATCTGAAAAAAATTCAGCTAATACCACACAAGAAAATAAGTGAGAAGGGATTCCAACCATAAACACAAAACCTTACATCTTCTGACACTGGAAATCACATTGACTTTTAACATGAATGATCCCTGGAATTCAATGGACTGAAAAGAACAATACACTTTCAGTGATGTGAGAAAGCAGAAGGATATTCATGCTTGAAAAGTAAGTATTTTCCCAACTTTACATTTAAAAGACCATTAAACTCTCAATAAGGAGCCATCTTTAAAGTTTTGAAGTTGAGAGATACAATCAATTTTTAAAAACTCTCTTGCTTTCTTTTTCAGGTTTGAGGAAAGTATGTCTACAAATGTCAGTTCCATATGCTATTAAGGCCCATGTGCTCCCTCCTGATGCACAGACAAACGTATGTAAGTGCAGCCACATGTGCAGGATGAAGGGGAGTGGACCAGACTGTCACTGGCAGGTCGAGGGCACCAGACCATCACTAAAGGGTGCCTGGGTTTTTGGTGTGGAGGTAAGACTGGAATTGCTTTCCACGGTACCTTCTCTGTAGCCAAAACATTTTTCTTTTGCAAATACCACTGGAAATGCATGATATCTAAGCAAGCAGTAACTTCCACTCCAGGCTCCACAGATCCTGTATGAAGCATCTCAAAAAACTAACAGGCCTGGGAAACTGGTGGCAGTCAAACCAAAAAGCAAGCCATGCTACCTGCACGAAGAGTAGAACAAGAAAGAATGGTGTTGG